GCCATGCCAACTTAAATGGTGTGTATAGTAGGTTTAAGTGTATGCAATGTGGCCATTTGAGGTATGTATGTAAAGCTTAGGCCAAGTACTTTCTAGATGTGCCATTTTAAGAAAAAAATCGCAAGAATATAGTCCCGTAAACTGGAACTACTTTATTCGTTAATTTTCATCAGTGAAGCAGGGATTTTACCTAAAAATGAGTCCCTATGTTGGCGTAGTGATATTTAAAAATCGAGACGCAAACCCTATGTTAAATATATAGTGTCAAGATGAAGGTTATGCATAGGGGAACGCAGAAATATAGTCATTGTATGGGCTAGTTCGTTCGAAAATGGCGATGTGTACCCCAGAACTTGAATTTTGGGATTTTTTTCAATATTTTTCAATGATTTACCGTAGTGACACCATAAAACACTTTGTTCCATCTCCTTCCGGCGCTATGATCTCTAAAAACACTGTACAGTTCTTTACACTTCGACACCAAAAGCTAGACTGCGCACATCTGGTCAAACTCTTACAGTATCTGTCCTATCTCACGTCACTAATTATATGCAGCGGGAAACAATCTGATTGACTGATCTGGGTTTGTTTACTGCATTTGGTATTGCATTCTGGGTAATATTCATGAGCACTAATCCAGGCATCCTGTTGACCTTTCTTCTTCTGTCTGGCTAATATTCCATTCACATACAGGTTGAATCATTCTAACCCAGGGGTTCCCTCGGCAACAGAGCAAATACACCTCTACATGGTACATGCATGAGTTTTTCAACTCTATGAATGAGTCGACTGAATCTACATATATGTAATCAGTCATTCCAGATAGTAATGCCCCAATCGCAATTTTTCTGTCGCCGTGTATTTTCTCTTAAATAACCCCGTGCCTGTAGTGTTAATCATTGTGGTTGTATAGGATGATTCAATGTCTAATATTGTAACTAAAAGTTTGGCTCAATTTGTTCACATATGTGTTGTCACAATCAGTTAAAGTCAGAAATTCTTAAATTACGTTATTGTTGCCAAAGAGCATTTTTAGGTATATGGAAGAAAACAGACTAAGTTTACTTATCACAATCCGTATTATATATTTTCATGGGTAACAATGATGTGTTAGAAATATTCATGCGAAGTTTCAAATCAAAACACTAACAAGAAACTCTTCTTTTTCACGTTGTAATAATGTAGCCAGATTTTTGAAAGTTACTACCTGTTGCATGTATACCTGATATGGAGCTTATACTAATGTGACGTTTACCTTTAAACCAACGTCAAATACTGGTATACATATAAAACATTCATGAAATATACAGAATGCCAATGTATTTACCAAGATATATCATTTGTGACCTGTCAAAAAATATGGATAAGGACTTTAAACTACGTTACCAAATATCCAGCATAATCAGAGAACGAAGGCACTGTTTTTTACATATATTGTACTACAGCCTTGGATGACTTAATATGAGACCCTACTCTGTCGGTTAGTACTGAATTAATAATTTATTCGCATTAAAATGTCACAAATATTAAATAACGTTACCTTAAACTACGTGAGCCATTTTTTACGAAACAATCCTATTTGACTTGTTTTATAACTACAGGCTTAATGACAATGGGTCATATGGTTAGTTTTGGTGCGCCATGGCGCCATGTTGACCCAAAGCTGTGTATTATCTCTGACAATCGACTACAATCCATTAAAATAATTGAAAATATGTAAGTAAATACCTAACTCCATTCACAATCTCAGTAAAGAACATTTAAGGAATATTTGAATAATAATTTCGAAGCACATCATTCATTAGAAACATGCTATTTGTGGTGCAAGAACAAAACTTTCAATTTGAAATATATTTGGTGAAATTCAATATTAAATGTTGGATAAATTACGTTATGTTCGGTACATTCTTTCAGAAAATGGGTAAATCAAGAGCAGTGATTCAAAAAGCCTATATTGAATGGAAAGAGAAAAGATGGGGAAAAGTACAAAAAGAAAGGGCATGTGTTAAGGAAATGGTGGAACAGAAAATTTTTTGAAAAAAATCGCAATACCTGCTCATTATATTTACTAGTACAAAATAAAAAATGAAGGCATGTAGAATTTTCAGGAAAGTATCGTCACGGTGTCTTCTTTTATTGAGTCTGGTAAGAGGTCAATTTTAACTCCAGGAAATGCTGAAATTTCATGAAAAACATTCAAAATGGATGTCTTTTCAATTTTCCAATGTTTTCTCAAAGTTTCTGTACAACACTTGAGTTACCATGGCCTTTAACCAAGTTTATTAAAAGAAGATAATGTGATGATGTTTCCCTTAAAAACAAGGAAATGCACACATGCCATCATACTTTATTTTCAACAGAAAGTAACGTGTGCAGGTATATCAATTTTTTCAAAAATGTTTTCGTTACACCATGCCATTACCTTAAGCGGTACCACACACCCAGAGTAGAACTCCCCCTTTAAAACGTTTGTTTCTTGCTTTACCTCGCGGAGTGCAAAAATGAACCCCAGAGTAAGCAGGATAAGAGCTCTGACTCAGACGAACCCTATGATAATAGAGCAGCTGTTATGCACATAATCGACAATTATACTGCTGCAGTCTATGATGGTGCTTGGTACATTGGAAAAGTAGTTATTGTGGATGGCGTGCTACGAAACATCATTTATGTTTAACAGACGGGGGTATTTCCAGTGGCCTTCACCAGAACATGTACTCTGGGTAGCCAGAACATCTACTCAGGTTAGAAAATGCAAACGTTCTTTGCCAAATAGTGGATTTGATTCCCAAGTGGGGGAATGCAAGAATGTTCAAGATTGCCTAAACTGATGGTGAGGTATTTGCCTCAAAAATTGAATCAAGAGACAATGACGTCTGATATGTTGTTTTGGACAGATATGATTTGAAAATACGTTTTACTGTAAACATTTACTAGTTCACAGTGACAGAACTGTTTTAGCGACGTCTCTAGAGATTTTGATTTGAGTGATAAAGTTGTTATAAGAAGTTTAAGTTTTACATAGACAATATCTGCTCTCGTTATCTAATGACGTCGACTATACTGTTTCTTAACAAGCGTTATCAAAATTTGCTGATTCAGTGCTAGGATAAGGGGTCTATACCAAGTACATTTAGCACCATTATTATTCACAATATGTAATGATTTTTTTTTCATTGTAATGTATTCTTGTTCAGATTTAATGACACATGAAGCTGGTGTTAATCTACGTTACCGTTCGTTTGAATATAGTACGCAAATACTATATTTTACATGAACATAGCGTATTTTCATAAAATGAGTTTCTCTTATATAAAACGTATATAAAACGGACCAAGTTAATTCTTTGGAAACCAC